ATATATATATATATATATAAATATATATATATATATATATATATATATATAAATATATAAAAAAAAATCTCACGTGAGAATAAATGTTGATTTCTGCTCAGGGGCTATTTGGTTTATGTACTTGTCTTTAAATGTCGTAGTGTATAATTTAGTGGTGAGGTTGCAGATTGCAACTAACCGAACACCCCTTCGCTCAAACCCCTCTTTTCCAAGCGCGTCGGAGAACTACTGTGGTGCACAGTTACGGTTGGCGCCTGTCTCCTTAAATCTTCCTCACTGAAAAGCCCAGTCTCCTCTGATTGGACAGCATTTTGCAGTGTTCCACATCTGCGGGGCCAACTTCTGATTACGATCAATATATTTTCTTTTGTAACTAAATCATTTTGTAACTTCGTCATTAGTTGCTATGATCTCGCCAGAGTGTGTTTCTCGACCAAAGACCTGAAAATGTCATTTTAGTGTCCAATATTTGAAATTGTCGTTTTTTCTCGTTTTTTTTCTGTGAAACAGTTTTTTGGGGGTTTTCTTTGTCGGGATCATTTATACATTGTTCGCAACCAGAAACTCTTTCAATGTACATGTGCTACATAAGTAATCTTACCTTACACTCCAAGTATGTCTACAGAATTGACACAAATTAACCATTGCACCCGTGTTTCTTGAAATGTTTTATATGGTACCATTCTATTTAAACATGATCATCAGGAGTCTATAATAACACGCATTACACTCATTCCATCTTGTCCACTCTCAACTCACATTTATCCACACTCTACATGATATCAGGCATGAAACGGGGGGGCATAGTCTTTGGGTTCCAGCAAAACTCCAGTCATGACAGGAGTGAACATGCGTGCGGATCAGTAAACTTCCCGTACAGCTGAATCCGTGCAGTCTCGAAAGCGTTTCCAACGTCTTAACATTCCACCAGGCTAAACGCAGCCTCCGGCCTTTAGCATCCGTGCTCTGGAACGATGCGGCACTTGAGGATTTTCAGGTAGTTCTGCACCTTGTTGGAGTCTCTGCGAAAGCAGTAGAGGAGGTCATAGTCTTTCATCAGGCGCCACTCGGCGCTGTCGGATGGCAACGAAGCCTCAGGTGAAGCCAGGCTGCTGACAGTGTTGCTTATTATCCCCAACACCTGCATCTGGAGAGGAGAACACACATTACAATGATCCCCTATTACAACAAAGTAAGAAGCCATAAGTGTTTTCTAAGAAGATGAATAGCTACCCTCTCATTGAGAATAATAAAAATAATAGATCCTGTCAATATAAGGAGACACCATCTAGATTTCTATCACCCATTTTTGGGTGCAATTCCAAAAAAAGACCCCACACAAAATATACATTCGGAGCAAAATATATAATATAATATATGGAGGCTATAATAATAATTCTGATCTAATTAGTTTTCTCTCCTGTGTTTATGAACAGGTGAAAATAAGTTTTGCCAGAATAACTGTTTCAAGTTCTATTTTTTCTTTCATCTGTGGCAAAAACGGGTAGCAAAAAAAAGTTTTGACAGTTGATTTTTTATTTGTCAGAATCATTGAGGCTTCCAGGTGAGTTTTTGCAAACACACAATATATGTACCTTGTGTTTAGAAATTAAGCATGAACAAATAATAAGAAACTAAAAAACATGAAGGCTTTTAGTCCTGGAATATGGGGTATTTGGTGCACTTCAGCCTCTTGTGGCTGAAATGAGTATTACAGTAACTAACACTTTAAAAAAAATGCCCCTGCAACTTTGTTTCACAGGTGAAAAAAAGTAATTTAGAAATATCATCCTAGCAAAATATTTTTTCACCTGTTTGCTAGTCATAAACACAGGAGAAAAAACAAATATCAGTCTCAGAAATATACTTGTCATTTACTTTTCACTTTCCTCTCAGGGCTTCCATATATTATACCATCTGTCCTGAATGTATATTTTGTGTGAACTGTTTTTGGAATTATACACTCAAATGGGTGACATTAACAATAAGTAAATGAATGAACAAAATCCGGATAAAAACACGACACATGGGCTTCTGTATATATTATATATACAGTATGTATATATATTATGTATACAAAGTTTGTGTAGTTGTGTAGATTCTAGAAAACACAGTAAAGCACACTAATACAAAGAATCAGTGATGCCAGCTGACCATACCTTAAGTTCATATAATGCATCTATTATATACATGTTCCAAGAAAGAAAGACATAAATGTGCTGCAGGCAGTGTGCCCAAAGGGATGTCTCTTCCTTTCTTGCTAGATTGTGGCTGAAAGTTTTTGCGCTGCATTGGGACATTGGGTCACCTAAGGGTGAACGGGGCGGTTTGGATTTGTCGTGTGACATCAGGACTTTGTCATGTGTGTCACTAAGATTACAGAGAAATCCCTGGAAGCTACATTACACAGCAGCTCCATGCATCTATCACACGTAATACATTTTGAGGCAGAGGCTTTTGGAATTAATCAAGTGAGAAGTAGAGTAATTTTCTCATAGACTTCCAAAACAACTTAGACTTGTTTTTTGAAACCAGAGAGTCTCTGATGGCCAGTAGAGATAATGCAGGTTTTAAGACACTTCCGCATTGGTTACCGCCTGGGTGGTATACTAGCCCGTGGTCAAGGGGTGTCATTGAGCCGGGGGAAAAGGGGCCAACTTCGACAGTAAGCGACAGTTCCTGCATAGTAGCCCCTTTTAAGCAAGTCGTTTAACTAATCGTGTAAACTACCGCCCACATCTTTTCACCATTCATAGAAGACATACAGTTACAGTACCTTTTCGGCCACTTTCTCCACACCTTTGCGTAGCTCGTGTACCATGTCGCTCATCTCAAGGGCTTTATTGGAGCTGAAGTTGTTGAAGTCGTGATGGTGAGCCATGCTCTGATGGAAATGCCACAGAGGATCCTTCCATGCCACCAGGAGCTTCAGGATTACCTCTGTCAGCTCCTCCCTCTACAGTGACAAAATGAGGACCCAACATCTAAAAGTCAGTTCAAACTCAAACCACTCTTTAAGTCATGATTTAATTCAAGTGATATTACTAGCAATCATTGCAGGTTTGGGATGATGCAAAAATAAGAAGTAGAAGGACACAACATTAAAAAAAGCATGTTGTACAACTGATGATGGGAAGGGGAAAGCAAACTGTTACTATGATGTGGACAGTGCATGAGCCTGACAGGAAAGAGCATTTATAAAGGTTAATTCACCGCCATTCTCTGAGCATTCTCCTTGCCATTTGGGGTGAGGATGCTGGAGGTGTGACAGTTGCGACTGACCCGGGCGATGTGATTCTTACTGGGCAGGAAGTACTGCTCCTAACGGGATAAACATGAATGCAAGACGGAAATGTCAGAGGTTGGGTGTCATCTAAATGTCAAGTGTGGGTAAAGAAGAGTGAATGAAATAGTAGAATGACCTGCAGTTACAAATGATTACAAATGGCGATTGATATATATATATATATATATTTTTATTATACACAAAATAAGTCATCATAAACTGTTAACTGAGTTTACACACCCACAGAGAGAGATATATATATATATATATATATCCATGTATCACATTTAGTAAACAAATATTGCTTTACAAAATCCAACGTATTCATTAAATATTGTCAAAAAAGCTTTGTCAGACAAATTGTGGAGACTTACAAACTCGTAGTGAAGGTCGTTTGAAATGCCGTGCGTCCTGGCTGAATGTTGGATGACCCGGTCAAACAGGTTCGCCAGGGAGAGGACGTGGCACCCAGCCTGGGCATTGGCACAGATGGGGGCTGCACCCACGCTGGTCAGTCTGCTGCAGCACAACAGACAGACCAACACCAACCAGACAAAAGATACTGGGAGGAAGAGCAAGGGAAGAACAAAAATAACTAATGAAACAAAATATTGCTGGGTGGGAAAAAAGTGATCCAAAACACAAGTCTCAACCTGAAGAATGACATAATGTCACAACCCTTTCTTTTGCAAAGTGTGCATGTGTGTTATGGGATCTTTTTTTTCAATATGTTTGAGTCAGGATGAAAAATCAAAACCAAAATGAAATCAAGAGACGGAACTGGAGTATTGGGTTAGGGGAAACAGAGACGTGAACAGGAAGAGAACAGAAGAGAACAGGAAGACATGCAGGGAGAGACAGAGAGTTATTTCTTCATGCAAAGTTCTGTTCCTGAAATAGTTACCTGATCTGATGTTTCCAGGCATCATGCAGGAGCTCCTGTCTCAGAGCCGATGGTACAGAATCTTGTCTATTAAGACCCCTGCAGCTTCATATGAGGGTCCCTCACTGACCATTTCCCTTTTACACTTTCATATCTAACAGAAAGAGAGAAAGAGAGAGAGAGAGAGAGAGAGAGAGAGAGAGAGAGAGAGAGAGAGAGTGTGTGTGTGTGTGTGTGTGTGTGTGTGTGTGTGTGTGTGATCATAATGAAGTAACCTATGGCAGTCTGCGAGAGCGATGACATCATCAACCTAGGACGTCATTCCAACACTGGATTGTCTGTCGGACACATTTGACGTTGACACTCTGGGTCCACTCAGCAGGCTTCTCCAGTACCTTTCATTAATGTCCGCGTGACCTCCAGCTATACAGCCAAAAGGTCATTTAGAGAGTTCCGGGGCACTAATACGAAGAGTCAGAATCAGCTGATGAGTGGGCTTCATGGGAGCTCAGAATGACACCATAGGGCAGCAGTAAATGAATGTCACGTTATTTAGAAAGCCAGTTAAGTGACGTCAAGTGGTTGTAGCCTGGATCAGATTATCTCAGTTGTAGGTAGTTGACTCATCTTTCATCATCAGTCGGCTGAATGTAGTAGGAAACTAGAAAAGGTCATGATTCCGGAGGTAATTAAAATCCCTTAGTAAGAGTAAAACTCCAGGCCTTTAGAATCTGAGCCAAATGCAAGGATCTTTATCAACATGGAAGGCCTGGTAATCTAAATAATTACAGTAATTATTATGAGTAGTTTATTATTTTTAGAAATGGCAGCACTAGTTATGACGGTAGAGCTGGGTGCTAGCAGCAGTGATACCAGTGCAAACAAAGACAGCAGCGCTGACGGAGCTAACAGTGCAAACAAAGACAACAGCGCTGACGGAGCTAACAGTGCAAACAAAGACAACAGCGCTGACAGAGCTAACAGTGCAAACAAACGCAACAGCGCTGACAGAGCTAACAGTGCAAACAAACGCAACAGTGCTGACATAGCTAACAGTGCAAACAAAGACAACAGTGCTGACAGAGCCTACAATGGTTACCTGTTAGTGGGTGGCTACTCTTATGCTACGACGCCATCGGTCAGGAAGGTGTTTTCAGCTGTAACCACCATATTAGAGCAGTGAAGAGTGGCGACCATGACCTAGCCAGTGGGGCACGCTCACATGCACTAAAGGGCAGTAGGCATTACTCCACTATATCTATTCAAAGCAAGTAGTTGTTTGATCATTATCTAATGTTAACTTTTGGTGAATTTAGGAAAAATCTCAAGATACCAATAGATGTAGTAATAACATAAAGAAGTAGAAATATGAGCGCCTAAATGTGTATTTCATATTATTGTGTTTTCGTTCCACTGGTCTGAAAGAATCTATGGAAGCAAAAATAGCATCAAATATCTCAAAAATGACCATAGCATGAAAAACATGTTTCTGTCTGGAGTGTCTCACCTTAACTGTGTTATTGTTATTACAATATGTGGACATTTTGTTGATAATAATGAGAATAAATAAAAGGTTGTATAATGAAAGAAATATGTTTAAAATAAGAATACTTTCCTTTCATAAAGAGAAACTGAGCAGGTTTGTTCAGGGTGACGGTGACGAAGTTCCAGTGATCACTAGAGACTGGAGTCCACGTGACTCCGCTACACGTTCACACACACACACACACACACACACAAGAGCATAGTGTTGTTGGGCAGATGGTCTCGTGTTGTCATATTCAGACTGACCTGCAGGGTAACAGGGTGACTGTAACAGTCGTACAAGCCCACAGGCCAGCACCCTCACAGGCTTTGGCCTTTTACTCCATTTTGACGGAACAAGAACTTTTCTGTGACGACTGACCAGCGACTGAACCTATACCACACTGAAATATACTTTTGTTCATTAGTGTCTGGTTTCTTTTCCTGGAAACTACACATCAAATTGATGAGGGAATTTGATGCCGTTATGAAAAAAAGCATCGAACAATCCAACAAGTCCTGATTGGCTGACGGCTTTGCAATCACTTTTGGGAAGAAATTAAAATGTTGGTTTCTTCTTTGCAATAACGGAATTATTATGTTAAGCATCAATGAAACACAGTGGTGGGCCGTCAGGGCCTGCAAAGCCTTCTCTGCTGGCCTAAACAGAGTCACAAAGTTATAGCTATTTTATAATTTGATATTTTTTCTTAAATACACTACATGTATGGTAATTTATAAAAATATTTTTCCCATTATCTTATTTTCTCATTGCACAGCTACTGTCTTCCTCAGTTGCTCTGCTTCCAGTGCAACTTGTTTTAAGAAGAGCTTTTATCCAATCAGATTTCACCTCTGTGTCTCTAGGTAAGGAGAGAGGCCCGAGGCCTGCGGACTCACAAGTGCATCCATGTGCAATTTAAGTGAATGGGGACGATATTGTTGATTGTCATAGTGTTCAACCAATCAGATCTTTAGTTTGACATGTTGGGCGTATTCTTTGATGTGCCAGAGCCTGCTAGCTGGCCTACAACTACTCAGCATTAAGTGCAGCTCAGTTTCCATGTGCAGCTCTGCAGTGAGGTGCAGCATGTGCTGTGATTGGTCAGTGGGCGAGCACGTGACTATCGTGAAACGATCACGTGATGCAGCTCAGCCAATCAAATATGGGCATTCTGACAAGTTTCCTGACTCCACTGAGATGTACACACACCGTGACACAGGGGGCTGAGACAAGGAAAGAAGTAGCAGAGCAATACATTTCCCATTTCATTTGTGAAAGTAAAATTATGAGACAAACTCCAATAGAAGAAGAATGGGTCTCGGCTTGTCATTAAGGGGTGATGGTGGACCCCGCAGCCAGACCTGTTGAGGACCACTGTCCTACATGAGTGCAAAAAACAATATATTTCCCTCAATTTAATCTTCTGCGTTTTCCTAATGCACTAGTATTATTCAAATGTATTGTTCGGTTCATAAGCCTCATACCGAACGGTTTAATACAAATATGCAAATAGTTACAGTCCCAGAAACGAATAATAGTCGTGGCGCCATCATGTGGTTATAAGGTGGAATTTCAGCTGCAGGACAGCAGTGAAGGCCCAGGTATAAAATGCACGGCCCGCCACTGATGAAACAAGATCTAATCTCATTCATTCCTAAATCAGAGAAAGACAAAAGGAAAATGAAGACCCATTATGCTTCTAAACAAAGATTCTAAAAGTTTTACAATTGTTCTAGGAGCAACACTAAACAAGAGTATACCTGATATTATAGGTAGCCTATTACAAAGTTAGATCACTGTACAATAATGTGGTGGCTCTTTAAATTATGAATTCACAAAGAGCCGGCTTGTTCTAAAGTTTTATTGCAGTAAATTAGGCTCACATTTGCAAATGCGAATCTCCCAGCTAGCTGGCAAGGGAGATACTGAATGAATTCAAATAATTTTGAATTAACTTTTATTGTATTTCTCGAATGAATAGGTGTTCTTATCCTCAATGAAATTTTCAGAGAGCTACAAAGAGTTTGACTATTGATTTTTTTCATCTTCTTTTCTCTACCCCCAGGTCCTTGAGCTACCATTACCAAAAAGAGTAAGGGGCCTGGGGAGGGGCACCACCCGCGACACCTGCAATGCGGGTCGGGGCAGGGCGAGGTCTGGTTCCACGATGACAGCAAACATTCTGGGGGTTGTGCGAGGACCGCTAGCTGAGACCACTAGAGACAAGGCACCAACTGCTCCTTATCTCACAGAAGAGGCAGAGGCAGAAAGAGATGCTTGAGATATGAGGTCATGAATATACAGACAAAACAAGGTCTGTTGAGGACTTGAGGCTTCTTTATCTGAACTTCAATCAGTATCTCTCTTGCTAGCCAGCTGGGAGATCCACATTTGCAAATGTAAACTATAACTATTGCAGTGAAACTCAACAACTTTAAAAGGACAAGCTTGCCATTTGTGAAATCATCTTTAAAGTGCCACCAAAAATAACATACACTTGCTCTTTGATCTCATAAATTATTACTATTTGATAGATGGAGTATATAATAGCATTATTTTTTTCAAACATTGCAAGGTTATTGGAATAGCAATTGTCAATCACAGATTAATGAGCCTAGAAAATCGGAGGATTACTTTGTGTGGACTAAAAATGTGATAATAATATTTCAAGGGATAGTTTCAGAAAAATGTTTGTACTTAGGTCCAACATGAATAAATCTCAATTTAATGGACTTTACATAAAAATATACCATTGCAATAGCATTTTTAAATGTATTGCTATACTCAAGGATTTTTTTCCTATATATTTGGGTTATTATAGTAATTGTTTTAATAATAACAATAACCACAATAATAGTAATAGTAATAATAATACGTACTTATTATTATTATTGTTATTGCTAATAATAATTATTATTATTTGTGTTATTATTATTACAAGTATTATTAGTATTAGTATATAAATCAGTGACTCATTCAATTCAATTTATTTTTGTATAGCCCAAAATCACAAATTAAAAATTTGCCTCAGACGGCTTTACAATCTGTACAGTACACATACGAGATCCTCTGTTCCGGAACCCTCACATCGGAACAGAAAACCAAAAAAAACGTTGAACGGGGAGAAAAGAGGAAGAGACCTTAGGCAGAGCAACAGAGGAGAGATCCTTCTTCCAGGATGGACAAAAGTGCAAAAGTGTACAGAATGAACAACATAACAGAGTTACAACAGTTAAACTCGTGAATTTGGTATTGTATGTCAAGACTCAAAGAGTTTATTTTTTGAGTTAAATTCTGCGCAATAGTCTGTACAACGAAAAAGCCCGATTTTAGATGAAAAAAAGTCTGATTTGTTGACGTGTAGTCTGTGACGTGTCGCCAGACTATCCGGTGTCGACGTGCGCAATGTGAGCTTGTTTTCTCTCTCAGTGTGCCCCGGAGATAAAGTGTTGGTGGAACAAGCCTACAAAAGCCCACGTTTCAGTTGACAGAGTTATCGAGACACATGTATCAAGGTTTCTATATTCGAGGCTTCACTTGGACGAGGAGTACAAACGTAGGCATACCGTGTAGCTACCGATCCA